AAAAAGTTCACGGCAATTTTGACGAGGAATGCTAGTAACCTTCTCTCTAACCTTCTCCTTTGGACATTCTTCATCTTTTGCTTGACATGTGTCGTTCTCCTTACATTTAAAACAATGTCATTAATATATTATACAAGCTAACTTTTGTTTTCCAAGTTTACCCTTATTAAATGTATTCAATTTATCTAAAAAAATTTCACAACTTTCTTACCATCTTATTAATTTTTTTTTTTAACTTCAATTTTTTTTTATTTGAGAAAATGTCTGCATTTAAAAAAAAGAGGAAATGTCCCTTTTTTTAACGTCAAGTTTAGACTTTTTTTTATTAATAAAAAAAAAGGACATTTCCTCTTTTTTTTTAAAGCAAACATTTTCTTTAAAAAAAATAATTGACGTTAAAAAAAATTTAATAAGATGGTAAGAAAGTTTTGAAATTTTTTTGGATAAATTGAATACATTTAATAAAGATAAACTTGGAAAGTAAAAGTTAGCTTGTATAATATATTAATGACATTGTTTTAAGTGTAAGGAGAATGACACATGTCAAGCAAAAAAAGAAGAAGATCCAAAAGAGAAGGTTAGAGAGAAGGTTGCTAGCATTCTTAGGGTCAGTTTGGCATTACTGTGTTGTAAAAATAATCGCTATCAGCATTGGCGGATCTGTTAAGGAGCAAGGAGGTGTAGCTACACCTCCTCTCGCCAAAAAAACAATTGTAAGTGTTTGAAATTGCCCCTTTGCTCAGCTGGTGGTGGTGGTACTTTTATTTATTTTTATATTACTCCATTTACTTAAGTTTACAATGTAAATAAGGAAGTACCCCCCATTTGGATTCAAATAAAAATATTAGAAAATCAAATTCCCCCAAAATCAAAATTTGAATAATCGGTTTTAGTGCAAAATACGATTTAGGCTAAAAATGATAGCCCATTAAGTCAACGTATACTTCATAATAAAATCCCATAAAATCAAGTTTTCTTATTTGATGTGTAAGGAATAAAAGCCGCCAAAAATTATCTTGAGAAAATGATTATTCCGAAAAACCATTTTTCATACTTAGTCAATATTTTTACATATAACAATTGTTCATGTATGATATGAATGCATGAAGGGACCTAAGGTCAATCTAGGTAGCCTTAGATGTTCAATCCAGAAAGAGTTTTTAGCCTTTCAAAATTGCACCTTCGCTAAAAAATTCATGGATCCGCCAGTGGCTATCAGAAATCAGCTGTGAGAGAAAACAGTTTGGCATTTGGTAAACTTATTCCCGCATAATCATTAAACTCAGCGCCTCTTTGAAACTGATTCTTGCATAATCAGAAAATAAAAGCACCTCATTAGTTGTTTTTCCTTATAACTTTCTCTTACAACAATTTTTAACAATAAGTGATTCTCATTGTTTACCAAACGGGATGGGCTTCCCAATTTTTTTAAAAAAATCACTTATCATTCCAAATAAGCAATGTCAATCGGGCACTTAGCATTAATGATATAGATACATCTTACACCATTTAATTTCTATAAACAAACCCAAAAAATGACAACTGGCCTTATTGAATTAATTTTGATTATTAAATTACTTTAATGCATTATTGAGTGTTTTGGTTTTTTATTTATTTATGAGGTTTTGGAGTTGTACTTGTTTTAAGAAATCGATGGCAGTTTTGTAATTTATAAGAAGTTAAAAGCCTCGTTGTTATGTTGTAAATGGGCTTTGAGTGTATTTCTAAAGTCCATTTCATATATGATTTTTTTTATTGGGTATAATAGTGAATCTCCTTATTTTTAGTTAAATTCAAATGAGGAGGTACTTCCTTATTTACATTGTAAACTTAAGTAAATTGAGTAATATAAAAATAAATTAAAGTAAAAAGACAAGACATTTACTTAAATGTTTGGGATGAAAATAAGATAATGGAAGACCCTACTCGGGCCGAACTAATCGGGCCATGGGTGGGCCTACTCGGGCTGGCTAGGCCATAGGTGGGCCTACTCGGGGAGGACAATGGGCCGCAAAGGTTTCAAATCCTAAACCCAAGCCCTAGCTAATCTTAGAACAAGCTGAACCGAGGGGGACTAACCATCAGGCTGGGCTTTAGCCCATCGGCCCTCAGACTACCATTTTCAGCCCACGAGCCAAATAATGATCCTTAGAGCACTTCCATCCATTGCTTGTGCCATAGCAAAAAAGGACCTAGTTTGAAAAAGACCCTCACACCAACAAAACTAGCCCTGGCAACTTATGGGCTCCATCAAAATCAGGCAAGACCAGCCCCTATATGCTATTGAAGGAGCTGACATTAGCAAATAAATTATTCTCGAGCACGCGTCTCATCCAGCAAAGAAATCTCCAACAGTCATGTGCGCCATGTGGCGGCTCCTAGGGCATCCAATTCAAATTTTTTTCTCCATCCAATGGCTACCAATTTTTATGTAATAAAAATTGAAAAATAATAATTTTGAAATAAAATACATTGTTTACCTAGGAATGTTCTTATCAAATTGTTTTTATTTTATTTTATGAATACCTATCCTCATATCATAAGTATAAATAAAATTAATCTCATGTGAATAGTGATTGCCTTTGGGTTGCCGTGACAATGGGTGGGAAAGTAAATACAAAATTGTTAAGGTAGACACTACTCATGTGAACTGTACCCGCCCTTACTTACCTTTGCCCTTTGCCATGACAAATGGGTGGAACTGCTCTGTGGGCATAGACAAACTTTTGAGGTAAATTATACTCTCTTTTTTTGTTGGAAGAGGTAAACTATACTTTGATAACTGAAACAATGTTTAAAAAATTGCCAATAGCCTTTAAAAAAACAAAGAAGAGAGTTTCATTTGTTGTAAAACTAGTGGATGCAATGCTTGATCCATAAAGAAATAATGGTGCATAGGTCGAAAGGCAAAAACCAAAGTGAACACAATTGTTGATGTTCAAAACTGAAGTAAACTTAAAAGGGGAATGAATTCTTCAAGTGCTGCTTCAGTGTTCCTTTGGCAACTTAGAGCGTATCTACAAGACAAGAAGATCTGTAAGGGCCTTGGCACCAATATGGTACTGACCGAAGTATCTCTTATGCTTAAGTCAATGAAGTCTGAAGTGTCAATTTTGCAGAGTAACACCATGGTTAAAAGATTGATTACCTGGTGCTTTGGGAGCAGTGAAAGCAATTTCAACCTTCATAGATAGGTTGTCTGCATTTGATAAGTTTTATTGAAAGAGTAAGCATGAAAAAGAAGAAATAAATAACCTACTCTCGTATTTTGTTATTTCACATCACCACCTTTATGATTTTCTAATTTTGTTTGCCAACAAGGATAAAACTTGGCTCTCATCGCTTGCAAAATAGCCTGGACAACCCAAGATCAGAAACTTTTTGGCATTTTTTATTTATCAGAATGTATTATTTTCTGCCAACAATCTTCGTGGAGATAAGCCAATACTTGGGCTATATATGTCTAAGTTTAATCTTCTTTCGAGTTTCCCAATCCAATTCTATACCATTTGTCTGCTCTGATCTCTTGAAAATACAACTGCTCTTAATTCATATAGTGTACGCTTCCAACTCTTCCAAAACCTCGAGTTCCAAGTTTTTCCCTTGAAATCCTCTGTGGCAACTTGCAATTTCATCATGTGATCAAAACCTCCTGATTATTGCCATTCCAAGAACTTGCTCAACAAGATTATTGCCTTCCTCTTCCTCCAATTTGGTCCTTCTCAACATCACAAAGTATATAATATATAATTTCAAAAGTAATATAAAAAACATTATGAAGTTTCATATCCCACATCGGCTGCTGGAGAGAAGTGCGTTGGTGAAGTGGTGTATAAAAGCAGAAACCAAACTAGAGAAAAAGCATACCTTTCTCGGCCTTTTGGCTAAGATCAAGTGTAGTATCTGTTCTTATCAGTTTAATATCTGATACGTGGGCCAATGGCCCACACGATATTAAATTAATTTCTTTAGGGGGAGGACCCACTACGGTAGCTTGCTACCGGGGCTCTCGAGCGTCGCCCAAGTGTTGCACTACTGCATGGGCCTGGCGCACCCCACCAAATCTAGTACAAAGTTGGCATAAAATGAAATCTGTTGGGAGGTACTCCTGAGCTCTTTTCTGCAACATTTGAAGTAAATAGGCTTGACCTTGAGCGATCCCCATGTCTTACCTCTTGTGACTATATCAATAAGAACAATTCCAAAGCTTTTAACAGTTGACTATTAGCAGGGGCAAGGCACCCTGGAGTTCCTACCAATTGATTCCCATCTCTTACAATTAGCTTCTACAGCCCAAAATCTGGAACTTTGGCATTGAAATTTCATCCAAGAGAATATCATGCGGTTTTATATCAGGGTGTATTATTTTCTGCCTACAATCTTCATGAAGATAAGCCCCTTTGGCTATGTCTTCTTTCAAGTTTCCAAATCTAATTCTAGACCATTTGCTGCTCCAATATCTTGAAAATCCAATTTTCTAAAGACCCCTCAAGTGATATATTCACATAGTGGATGAAATTTATGCACAAAATCTAATCAACCTTACGAGGTTAAAATGGTGAAGTCTCCAAATTGTATCAATTTCAACTAGGAACGCCCTCATCCCCTGGCCCCTGTTATCCAACCGTTTTACTGCAATCATTGTGCTATCTGCCATAACTCCTTTGATCACAGAACCAAAGCCTCCACTTCCAAGTTCTTCCTTGAAATCCTGTGTTGCAACTTGCAAGTTCTTCCTTACCGTTATGCTGCATACATAAGAAAAAAGAATGGCACCGGCTATGGCAAGAATTGTAACAGTATCCATAAAATACCCAATGACAAAGAACGTTACAGCCTAACCATATATTATCTATTTTCATCATCCTGAAAATCCCACAGCATACTACTTGGAAACCAAGTTTAAATGAAACGAGTATCACGTTACTGTTAATGTTGACAGAAGTTTCTCATTTATTTGTATAAAATAGAGTTCTCCCCAATTCGGGAATGATGTGGTTACAGGCATAAAAAATGAAAGTAATCTCAAAACATTTCTAAATCAGATGAAGAACACCTACCAGTATGACCTCCCTTACCAGTAATCTCCACAAGAACACTTCCCATTTTTAAAGTGATGAAATCTACTAGCATCACGTACAATAATTTCTCGGTTTTTTATTAGAGATATGTACTTAATAGCAACATGACAATCAATGCAAACACGCAAATTCTTCATCACCCTTACCGGTACACCCTCAGGTGTGTTCATTAACGCAAAAGCAATTGCCAACTTCTCACTATGGTGAGCCAAGTTGTATTCTTTCTCCTCGTTATCCATGTCATGCAAAACAGAGCCAGTATCAGGCACATAACCATGCAACTTCAACTCGGATGTTAGTTCTTGAAGATACATATCAAGCTCCTTAGATTGTGGATGTGATTTATCACCAATACAGAACTGGTGAACTTGATTTTTAATTTCCAGCCAGCTTATGCCTGGCTCCTTCTTGACCTTTCTATCTCTCATGGCTTTTCTCACCTCAGAAACATCCTGCCACCTTCTAGCTGAAGCATGAATGTTTGAAAGTAGCACGTAAGAAGCCGAGTCCTGTGGATCTTGCCTAATAACTTCTTCAGAAATCCTTTTTGCTATATTTGCGTTCCTGTGGATTTTACATGCAGATAACAAAGTTTTCCATATGATAGCATCTGCTTTAACAGGCATTGATCTTATCATTGACTCAGCTTCCTCCAAACGGCCAGACCGGCCAAGCAGGTCAACCACACATGTATAGTGTTCTAGTCTAGGCTTCAACCCATACTTTTCTACCATTGAGTTGAAGAACTCAATCCCTTTCTCCTTCAATCCACAATGACTGCAGGCATAAAGCAAACTTAAGAAAGTAACATCATTTGCCTCTAATTCTTCCTGCTCCATCTCCTCAAACAGCTGAATGGCTTCCTCTACTCGTCCATGAAACCCATAAGCAGAAATCATGGAACTCCGTAGTACAACATCTCCACCTACACTTTCCTTGAAAGCTTTTAGAGAATCTTCAAGACACCCACATCTTGAATACATGCTAATTAAGGAACTAATGACTGCATCAACTGTGCTAGCCCCAGCTTTAATTGCTTCAGCATGAATCTGCTGACCCTGTCCGAGTGTTGCCAATTCCGAACATGAACTAATAACACTCACAAATGTGACCTTATCAGGTCGAAAACCTGCGATTTTCATTATATTATACTGATCCAACACTGCCTCAGAGTGCCCATTTTGAGCTTTTCCCGCGATAAGAGTATTCCAAGCAACCACATTTTGAATTGGCAGTCCAAGCTACCAGACTTCATATACATATGAGCCAAAGAGCTCCCAACAACCAAATTGAACTCAAACCTGCATTTCATCACATAAGCGTGAACCTGTCGCCCAGCATGTAATGCTCTCAAACCTGCACATCCCCTAAGAACACTACCTAAAGTGAACTCATCAGGCAAAAACCCCAACTCGTGCATTTCCGAAAACAAACCCAACCCCTCCTCATTAAATTGAAACTGGGTCAAACCCGTGACCATGGCATTCCACGTAGCCACATTTCTCTCAGGCATTTCGTTGAACACCTTCTGGGCACTTTCCAAATCACCATTTTGCACATACCCATTGATCAAAATGTTGCAAGACATAATATTTCTCCTTGGCAGATGACCAAACAGAGTTAACGCTGCTCCCAAGTCTCCAATTTTGGAGTAAAAGTTGAGGATGTGATTGGATACGAACTTGTCCGCGGAACATCCAGATGTGATAATCAAAGAATGGAGCTGCTTTCCTAATGAAAGTGACTTTCTGGGTATGCATGCTTGGAGGAGGTGTGAGAAGAGAGATGGATTTGACCATATCTCAGATTTAAAGCTCTCAAAGGCTTCTTTGATTTGTCCTTTGGAGCAGAGGCTGCTCAACTGTTCTGCGGCGGAGTCTCCAAGCTTAGATACAACTCTGGAGGTGTTTGTGGACAGAAAGCGTGGCGTGGGAATGCGTATAGTGTTGAATACGGAATTGCAAGACTTGTCCCCATACATCTGGCTGGCGAGTTGTATTCAAAACATGCAAGGACTGGAACTTTATCAAGGTGGTGCTGTGGCGGGAAGTTCCTTTTTCTTTTTAACTCGATCTTGAGATTTTACAGAGTTTTGTGTACAATAAAATTTATGAATGGAGCTCCCTTTTTTATTTTATTAAAAAGACAGAAGTACTAAAGAATTTATGCAATATGTCAATCCTTTTGGATTTTATTTTGCAAATGAAGTATAATATATAGATACTAACTTTTTTCAGAGTAAAAAGAGAGTGTTGTTAAACGAACCTCAAAATTAACTTACTACGCGTTACTATCAAACTATTTATTGTATTACTAATTTACCCTAATATAAAGTGACAAAAAATGATATATTAAATTGCAAAATAAATGTAATTGTAATAAATACACCCTACTCACCATATTCAACCGTGAGTAGGAAAGTAACCCCAAAAGGCATTTGTTTTTGTTGTGACAAGTCCAATGAATCTCTTATCCATGCTTATGGGAGTGCAAACTAAGCAAGAAAGTATGGAGGCTTTCTATGTTGGGATTTGCTGTTGAGTAGTGGCATATGTTAAGCTTCATTGATTTCTTTGAGAAAGCTAAAACAGTTTTGACTTCTATTGAGTTGGACCAATTTGCTTACATTTGTTGGATGTTGTGGAAATCTAGAAATGATAATCTTCATGGTCAAGGTGTGCATAATCCGATCCATCTTCTTGAGAGGAGTTTTGAGCTATGAAGAATCTCATAAATCTCAAGAAGAACCACGTGCTTGTAGGGCTAATCAGAATGAGATTTGGAGTTGTCCCACTTGAAGGTTTCTATAAGCTCAATGTTGATGGAGCTACTGACAATGCAACATGCTTGCATAGTATAGGTACAGTTGTTCGTAATGATTCTGGAGTTTTTATGGGTGCCCTAGACATACAAAGCCCTCGCAGGGTTTCCATTCTAGCTACAGAATTTCAAGTGATATGTAGAGGAGTTTTATTTGCTGCAGGTGGTGGTTTTTTACCTTTCATAATAGAAACTGACTTTTTTGAAGATGTTATGATGATTAATTCAAAGGAGACTATTTGGGCTACTATCGGCAACATTATAGATGATGTGAGAGACTTGCTCATGCAGTTCCCCTTCTTTGTAGAAAAGTTGATAGAGGTCCAAAAATCCAACCAATAATTGGATGTAGTCCTCGAATTATTGTTTATTGATACAAGTCCCTTGACTAGTTTGCCACTTAGATTACATTCCATCTTTGACATGTTGATTCAAATTTTTGTATTAAACTGATTTGTATTTAAATTTTTTTGTTCCTATTATATCCCTATTGTCTAAAATGAGTAAGATGAGAATTTATATGCCATTATTTTTATTTTTGTTCACCCTATGGTAGAGGTATAGGTAGGTAACATACAAGTTTATTTGTCTATTTTTGTATCTGACTTATAGGTAGTCTTCTAATTTATGTTCCTAACTTATAAGCAGTATTCTAATTTATGTTCATGACTTATAGGTAACACGATTTATCACTAAGTTTTTTTCGTTGCTAATAAGAACATTATTTACCTGTATATTAGGTACATAACTTAATGTGGGTGCTTGCCTAATTGATTAGTATAATATGTGGGCCTTTACTTCAATTGATTAATTTGTATTTTACCCATATATTAGGTAAATATTATCAATGAAAGAATTCCAAATTTAAATTCTGAAATTTAATTACAAGTAAATAATTCATTAAATTTAGATTTTCAATGTTTTCCTTATGTACCTCAAAGGTTAAAATCGACATAATAAAAAGAGTAATAAAAGTCAAAGAACCCACATCTAAAACCAAAAATGCATGGACTAAACCCAATGACAACTAATAGTTTTGGACCTACATCTAAGAACCTCTTTTCTTTAAAGGAAGTCCAATTTCGACCTAGCGAGTGTAACAAAGTGGCTCATGCTATTTCCCGTTTTGCTTTACATGAACAAGGTCCTTATTATTGGTTAGAAGAAGGCCTTGTGTGGCCTCTTGATGACCTTATTGTAACCAATGTTTCCGTTTAATGAAATTTACTTTTCTTTTTCTGTTTTTATAAAAAAAGGCCTTATCAAACGTACCAATTCTTTTGCTACTACTACTCTTTATTTTCAATACTAATTTACTATGAACTGCGAATTTGTTCTTCTATGATCGGGCCTTTTGTTTTGATTTTTTATTTCTTGGGTAATGATCATTTTCAGTCTGTTAGAGCTTCAAGCTATAAAGATTTAAGTTAGTTGCTGCTTAATCTGAATATGGTTGGTCCAAATTTTGAAGTTGAAGGAACGAATTTAATTTATCTTTGTTGGATCTTTGTGTTTTGCACTTTTTTTATTGAATTGGATATTTCTTTTTTTCTTTTTCTTTTTTCGTAAATACTGAATTGGGTATTTCTTGATTGTTAACGAAGGTTTAAAGACTGAATCTTTATATTTTCGTTTTAAAAATTTTATTTTTAGGAAGTATCTTGCTCAAGAGTGAGAGAGTCAGTTTAGAATTGGAAAATTTATGCATCTCTGATAATTTACTGAAAGAGACTATTTTGACTAAAGGATCTTTTTCACAAAATCTAATGTATTTCGTAATTACTTGCATTTTTCACTTTTCTTTTTTTGTAATATTTCTCCATCATTGTCAAGGATTCAAGCATCAATAGGGTAAAAGTTCATGGCCAAAACATAATGTCACTGGAGGATTAACATTGGTAGAAGGAAAGAGAAGTACCAATATACCCAGAGCCAGAGCTATCTGTTCAAGCATAGCTTCAACATCGAATCGAAACGAATGATAGTTTGGTAAATTGCAGGAGGGCTAGTACATTCATCCAGATCCTAAATTACCAATTTACCACCTATAATTCTCAAGAGAGAAACCATTCAATGCAACTTATGATGTAGTGCAAAACTAGAACTTACTGATTTGACCTAAATGGACAGTGAAACCATGGCTACTAATCAGCTCATTATAGCTTGAGCATCGTGTGCGCAGAGAGCGAACAAAAACCTACCAGTTTAAGTCTGCAGTCGCAAGGATTTTCAAACAGACCAAAGGCCCAAGTATATTTGGTCATTCCAACTTACAGTACTTTACATATGATCAAAAAATTACAGCTTTATACATTTAATCAATTACAGACGTTTTTAGCTAAGTGTCGATGACAGTATGAGTTCACTACCTAAACAGCGACTGGTGATGGAACTGAAGCAGGGACCCGGTTTTCAACTGGGATTTCAACGAATTCAGCAAGAAGTGCCCGGAATTCATCCCCAGTCATTGTTTCCTTCTCAAGGAGGACCTCCACGATCTTGTCAATTGCTTCACGGTTGTTTCTTATGTGGGTCAATGCTATCTCATATGCTTCATCGGATAATCTCTTGATAGCAGAATCAATGTCTTCAGCAAGTTTTTCTGACATTGAGTTCCTTGCCATCATTCTCATTATGACGTCACCACTCTGGGATGCGTCCATCAACGACCACGGTCCAATGTCAGACATTCCAAAGGTTGTGACCATCTGTAACAACGCCAATTAAGTCTCAGTACAGTTGATTTAATATGGTAAAGAGCTAACGAGAGGGTGCTCTTAAAGCAGTTAACTTTGGAGCCACACTAGGAATTCAACAAATAGGACTGGAAACCACTATTTAAACTGGCAATTTCAAATGTCTGCCTTAACCGGTCTATGGGGAAGCTAACATGAGTAACAATATAATAAAGCTCTTATGCTTCTAAAGTACGAAAGAACTAAGAGTTTCAAGCCACATTTCATAAGACCAAGGATCACTGAAATTCGACAGTTATTTATAACCAGATAATGAATATCTTCAGTTACCTGTTTGGCCAAACCAGTGATCTGCTGCAAATCACCAGCTGCACCTGTTGTCACCTCAGGCTCACCAAAGATCACTTCCTCTGCAGCTCGACCACCAAGCCCACCAACAATTCTTGCAAATAGTTGCTGCTTGGAGATCAAGGTAGGATCATCCGCAGGAATAAACCAGGTAAGACCCCGTGCCTGACCTCGAGGGACCAGGGTCACTTTTTGGACAGCATCATGCCCTGGAGTCAATGTCCTGCATTGAAGAAAAAATGAAAACATTGTGTGGGTTATTTAAGTTCCATTTTTCTACAATTTTCCTTACAAGGTATTTGAGCTTCATAAGCACAAGTAATAACAAGCTAAGTAAGATATCTTTGGATATATCAAATGATATATGGGTGCAAGGGAGTAGAAATGAGAGTGAGAGAAAAGCATACAGCAAAAAGGTGAGCATTGGTGCAAACCTATAACATTCAAAGCTATACCATCAGAAGTTAAAACGCATTTTTATAAAATTTAGATGATGAACTTGGATCATGAATGAAGTAATGAACGCTCTTGTAGAATACCTAAACAAGTTTCTATGGTCTTAAGATATTGGATGGGTTCCTTTGCCGCTGATGATATTAATATACTACAAATTCAAACATTCAAACCTAATTTTATATCTATAAAATAACATAACTTAAAACAAATAAGTAAGATTCATATCGCAGAATATTCATGGGTGTAATGCAAAGAGGAAACCAGTGTAAAGAATGAACCTTGGCCTGATGAAAACTATCATAAAGAGAATTTGTAGACAACAGGAACCAGAGACTAAATTATCACTTACCCACAGATGGCGTGACCAACTTCGTGATATGCCACCAGACTTTTACTCTTTCCATCTGTCATTACTGTTCCTTCCATTCCAGCCACTATTCTATCAATTGAATCATCAATCTCTTTCGGTGAAATTGCCGTCTTCCCGCGCCGACCAGCCAATATAGCTGCTTCATTTAGAAGGTTTGCAAGATCTGCTCCACTAAAACCAGGTGTCCTCATGGCTACAACATCTAGGGAAACATTTCCATCAAACTTCTTATTGCTAGCATGAACCTTTAAGATCTCTGTTCTGCCCCGTATGTCGGGGACATCAACAGACACCTGCCTGTCAAATCGGCCAGGCCTCAATAAGGCAGAGTCAAGAATGTCTGCCCTGTTAGTCGCTGCAACCACAATGATACCAGTGTTGCCCTCAAAACCATCCATTTCTGTCAAAAGCTGATTAAGGGTTTGTTCTCTTTCATCATTTCCCCCACCAATTCCAGTTCCTCTTTGCCGTCCAACAGCATCAATTTCATCAACAAATACAATGCAAGGTGCATTCTCTTTGGCCTTCTTAAAAAGATCACGAACTCGGGAAGCACCAACACCAACAAACATTTCAACAAACTCAGAACCTGAGATGGAGAAAAATGGAACACCAGCTTCACCAGCAATTGCCTTTGCTAACAGAGTCTTTCCAGTTCCTGGAGGACCAACAAGAAGAACCCCTTTAGGAATTCGAGCCCCAACAGCAGTGAACCTCTCAGGCTTCTTCAAGAATTCCACAACCTCCACAAAATCCTGCTTGGCTTCATCTACCCCAGCAACATCATCAAATGTCACTCCAGTGTTCGGTTCCATTTGGAACTTGGCTTTAGATTGACCAAATTGTAGAGGAAATCCAGGCCCACCAGGACCACCCATGCCTCCAGATGAACGCCTTGAGAGCAGGAACAAACCCCCAATTAAGATTAGTGGGAAAGCCAGATTTCCAATCAGGTTAAATAAAAGAGAGCCTGAATCTTCTTGGGCATTATGTGCTGCAAAGTCAATGTTCTTTTCCCTGAACTTCTGGAGGAGCTCTTGGCTTAGTCCAGGAAGTTGAACGCGAACTCGCTGCAATCGGTTCCCTAACTCAGGAGAAACAGCCTCAACAATAGCTATGGTTCCATTCTCAAATAAATCAACTTTTGTCACCCTGCCCTTGTCCAGATACTCCAAGAATCTAGAATAAGACATCCTTGAAGAAGAGACCCCTTGATCATCGGCTGCCATAGCATTCCCTGCCCCAAGTAAAGCAGGAGCTCCTAGTCCCACATTTCCAAGCAACAACTTCAGAAAGCCTCTTCTTCCCTCATGCTGCTTTTGGTCCAGCGATGCCCTTGTGATAGATGTTTTGGTCACCTTACCCAATGATGGCAGAGCTGAAGGGTGCAAGAGATGTCTACCAGAAAAGTCCTTGCTAAAAGTTTGTTTAGTACTATGGGTAGATAACCCATTCCCCACGAGGCATGCTGACGATGCTGCCATCTGTGAGTACAACAAGAAAGTTGCTTGTAAGTTAATGAATTAATGAAAAATCCAAAAACATATGCATAAGCATTGCAATGTCAAGAATGACTGTCAGATTATGGAAATTAAATCAAGTAGTTCAACAGCCATGCAAGACAAAAAATATCACAGTAAGGGGCAGATGAAATCAGCTTTATTTCAAGACATAGCATTATAATAATGACCTTAAGACAAAAGGTGACATGAATAAACATTACTGGAGTAGAAATTAGAGCAATTCAACATTTTATAGAACAACATGAATGAATTCCAAGATCTTCACCCATATCACAATATTTAAGCAATTTCTCATAAATGGAAAGAGGGCATAGCCACAAGATAAACTTTTAAAACGGATAACCCAATAGCAACACATTCCAGTTCAACTAACCCCTTAATGTAGTTTTTACCTAACACATGATTTTTTTTAGTTACTTTTTTTTTTTTCCTTCAGAAGAAAATGAATTTAATCAAAAGCAAACACAATAGCATAAATTTTATGTGGACGAGGAGAAAATGAAAGAAGCCGTCACGAGACAAATTGAAGGACTGGTAACAAAGATGGTCTTTCTGATTCAATAAACCCACAAAAACATGCAAAATAAAGCTGAATTATGAATAATATTTAGCTACCTCAAGAAAGAAGCATCCCATCCCATTGACAGCAACAAAAAATTTAAAAAGTTCACATTCAGGCCAAGCCCACCAAACCCCTCTCCAGATTTTTTGTTTCCAAAGTACCAATATCAAGACATAGGCATAGAAACACACAAACCCATATGGGTACAAGGCAAGTTATGGACTAAAATGCACTGAAACTGAACAATTGAAAACAAACCCATCACAGATACAAGCTAATTCAAACTAAGTAACAGTCGAAGAAGTTTGTACCTTGCAAAAGGGAGGATTTTTGAGAGGGAAAGAATGTAGATTTAAGAAGGGCGAGCGAGATAAATAGTTCTGGACCCTTTGGTGCAGAGACAGAGAGAGCTGAGAGGGGAGGGACGGATGCAGAAGCAAAATGGTATTTAGATGGAGTGGATGTGGTTTCAGAACAGCGTACGTGGCTTGATGCTAGTGGCTAGTTCCTTTCTTTTTCACCTGTTCGGATTTTTATCGGACGTTTTTGAAGAAATTTATTTTCGGTCAGAGGACTTGGAAATCGTTTAAGATTTTTGTTTTTAATTTTTAATTTTTCTGTTCTTATGCTGGGGATCTTAAAAGGGCACGTCACATATTTAAGCCAAGAATTGGGGAAAAAAGAGTACACGTCACACACTTTGCACCATGTGGACGCAATCAAAACTTTTAAAAAACATTGTTTTTTTCTCTTTTCAGTCAGCTAAAACAGTCGGTAAACATTTCGTCAGGGCACCGGCACCTAATTTTCATCTTGTTGAAGAGAATTTTGAGTTCAAATCTCATAAACGATTATTTTATAATTACAGAATTTTTAGGAATATAATATATTCGAGGGAACTTTGATTATTTTACAACTTTAAAGTTCGAGTTAACTAAGACGATCTTTATGCACGTGACACAAAGAACCTTAAATTTTGTTTGAATTACAAAATTATTTGTTGTAATAGAGGCATAGATTATAATTTGATTTTTCTCATCACATTAAACAGGAGTCAATGCAAGTGTACTGTCGCTGAATATTTAGTTTTGCTTGTGAAGATGAAGATAGTTGAAAGGCATGTACCAACACCGACCTCTAATGAGATATAATTCTATGATATTTTTTCTCAATTTGGTTTCTTTTGGGGATCAATAGGGTTACGTGTACGTTTTTGCTACCACAACATGAAAGTGAAACGTTGAAAATACAGGTATACATTCATCAACAGGGTAATCTGATGTAAATATAGAGGGCAGAGCCCCACATATCAGGAACTATCTCCATTCGGGGAGTGCTTTCAAAAGGGTTAAAAGCGCTTTGTGGCAAACGAAAACACTTTTGACTGGGCTTGACAGAAAAATTTAAAAATAATTATGAGCAATAAAAGCGTTTTCTGAAGAAGCGGGTGGTAGGAGATAGTTCATGATATGTGGAGTATTAGCAAGCATTTTAGCATTCTAATTAAAGGCACAAACATTTCGGCATTTTTTAAGTACAAGCTTCATTTGATATCTAACTTTGAGTGATAGTCTCAACAAAAGCATTGGCCTCAACATAAGATATTTTGATTGTTTTTGTTGTTAAGGATGCAGAGCAGCGTCCCTTGCTTTACTCACATATTGCAAACCTACAGACGGGGCAGTGGCCGTTGCTCTTCACCCATGGCACAATGCATTCCTCATGAAACATGTGTTTACAAGGTGTGAGCATAACCTCTTGTCTGGGCTCGAAGTCTTCCAAGCAAACGGCGCACCTCTTGCTATTTTCATCCTTCTCCATTTCATTCGCATTCACAACCGTGTCTCTGTAATACAAGTTGACCGTCTGTGATAATCTCCTAAAAGGTTTGTATATTTCTTTTTTGAGCTTCTGCAATGCCCGCTTTTGCTCAGTGTTGCTCAATCTTGAGCCCAGTTCCAGCCTAGACGGGGCGGCTGCGTTCCATTGGTTGCCGGTGATCTGTCTCCAGGGGTTTGCCTGACCTGCCATTTCGTCGCCAAGGACCAGAATATGAATTCGGGAACCTGGCGGTGCTGCTGATCTGCAATTTCATATATATATATATATAGATGGTGATCCCAAATTAATAAGAGATGGATAGAAAATAAATAACAATGCACAAGTAATGGATGCTACGGTTGAGATGAGATGCACTTCACTTTTCGCCCATTTTAAGTCTCATCCACCTATGTTTCTTCCAATGACTGATATATAATTTGTCAAGTTACGTCCGTATTAGTAACAGAAAGTAAGTATATAGTATGGTTAAAGGCTTAGAGCTTTACTAATTCTTGTATACTTATAGCATCAAATGAGCAAACATTGGCAGAAAAGGAGCTCACCTCAGAAGACTTGGGAATGAAGTTATTCCAAAAATTAGTAACTTTAGTTTACTGTAGTTGATTAAAATTTTCCATATGGAACTAGAAACTTTGCAGCTTTTCTATGCACATAAGTTGAAAATGATTGATTTTAAACCTCATACATGTGTATACTAATCATCTAATTGATTGTATTACCCTGCTAAGCCAAGAGGTTGTGCTCGTGCTCGTGCTTGCGTTCCCTCAAATGGTCGCCTTGAATCCGATGCAGCTGTTCTGGTAGCCTGTTGATGCAACCAAAACAATTCATGTCATAATCTCATCATCTTTGAATAGCACGATAAAGAAACAGAGGATGAGACTATACTTACTTGGGTGGCTTGAAAATTATCATACAGGGGACTAATAGATTGTCCGAAAGGCCATTCACCAATATCGTCATTGATTCCAAAGAAGTAGTCATATGGATCATGATAGGTAAGAAGAGGAGGAGAATAGGCTGTAGTGTTATTGTTGGTGCTTCTGCTCATGGTGTAAGGTCAGATGCAATGTTGATGGTTTTGGGATTTTATGAGCTTTTATTCCTTCCTCTGCTTGAAGGTCTTTCAGGCACTAGGGAATACTTATATCTTCTCAATGTTTTCATCTTTTGCTTTTATGCTCCTCACTTTCGTATTGTAATGTCAAGTGGCGAAGTATGTGATGGTTTCTTCATTCTATAGATGCCTTTTTTCTGGTGGCTTACGTGAAAAAGCTACAACAGATTCGACGGAAAGTAAGGTAGGAATCGATTCTTACCCCATCTCGCATGGGATCTTTTTCCTGTTTCTGTGATTATGTGATTGAGGTGACAATGTATTCTACGGTAGAGATTTCCCAGCACCAGCACGCATGCGTTTTCACACACGCTTAAGCAATCGTTAACGCATACAGTCGCTCATGCGCATATGGACGATTTTGTTTGATCGGTGAAGTTCTTGATTTCTTTAGAAAACATTAATCCTTTCTCCGGTGAAGGGTGACGATCGTCTCTGTTCAGAAATGACAGAATTTTCAATACGTTGATATTGCAGTTCTGAAATTCTCTAATGACAAGTGAACTCTGCATTTGCCTGCTCTTAAAAGTTTATTCCTCTGAGCTTTCAGTTGTCACCTTTTGGCCCCATTAAATTTGTCAATGCATCAATGCATGTAAAAAAGCAATTTAAAGTTTAATTTAGTCTAATGATATCTCAATTTCCACGCTAGCGGAAGAATCATTCGTCTTTAAATTTGAAGCATATGAATTTCAATAAAAAAAGGTGCTTCTGGTCCTCATTGTCTTCTCGAATGTACCAGATGCTGGACCTGCAAATTAACCTGGAACAAGCGAGAAATAACATAAACCGGAAAAAATTTAAGAAGCTCAAAACCACGTAAGAGATTGGATATGCAAAAGATACCTCGTGCTCACAAGTCTGCTTGCTGATATAAAATAACGTAAAATACGCAGATTTTACTTGCTCATAGTTGAAGACAAACAGAAGTTCCAGAATATCGAGCCCACAGACATGAAAGCTACACGGGCTTGAAGAGGTATCACCCTGAATAGAGAGGCATTGAGGTTAAACTATCACACAAAAGTACTACTTAATTTTGACATTAAAAATTGAAATCTATGCTAAAGTATGATGCTCTTGGAAAAGATTTGCCACATTTAGGGGGTCATACAGAAACTAACGTTTACAAACAGTTTTCAATGCTGTGTCTAACAAAATGTATAAACAGAAGCTCTGGATTACCCATACCAATGAGGGGAAAAAGGAGAAAAAAAGAGGATAAGAGAAAAAGGTGTACCAAAAATTCAATAAACTGACAGGTATCCAGAACCTAAATCCTGCACAAATAATAATAATAATCAAAATGAAAAGTTATCAGTTATTGAAATCTGGAGTATCAAGTGATCACAAATATTGGGAAAAGCATCTCTCTGGTACTTGTCCGGGAGCTGTGAGAGTTTCCTTTGCCATAAATTGTTCCATGCAAAAACAACAGCAATCACAGTTGGACCAAGCACAATTTGGTTTAATAAAACCTGTAAGAAATGAAAGCTATGAGGTACATTTTAAAGGCTTGCGTTGCTTTTTAATTTTTTTTTTTTTTTGGGGTTTCCAAGTTCCATAAGGTGATACTACCTCAATATTTATAAATAAATAAAAGGTCGTACCTTCAATAGTAGGTTCCCTACTGTTTTCGCAGGTAAAGTATGATCAAGAAACTGGTACCAAGCATAGGAACCGGGGCCGTATAAAAGAAACCCATAGGAAGTCATCCGAAGTGCACGAAGCCAATCATGATCTGAGAGGAGAGCATATTTTCCATCCTAAGAAAGAGGCTTTGGTCAAACACTAAACTCAAAGGACCAAAATGTAACAAGGCATCCTCACAAGAAATAAACTATAACAAAGTGATTTGAAGTGCCTTAAGTTAAGATTGGACATGACAAGGCCAATTGACTGAGCTACAAAAGAGTCAACAAGCCTGGAGGATGGACCACCAAAATCAACTAGGAAGCACGCCATGAAAGCCCTAATATGTCTCCAACCTAGAACTGAATTTTCTGCAAGCAAAACAACTAGGAGAGCCAAATTTTTCAAAGAACAAAGTCTTGATCCATCATTCCACCCTCCACAACCTTAGAATCACAATCTTTTGACTAAGCATTGGCTTAGAAGACAACAACCTATAGCTGGAAGGTCTAACAACGCCATCCAACATGATATAGACTCCATTTATTCTGGCATACTCAGCACTTATTCTAGTAATATTAATAAAAACAAGCTCCAATAGTTCCCTAAAATTCACAGTATATACAACCAAAAAGAGCATACGTATGAGCATTTGCACTAACTTTGGGGCACTGAAGAAAAACAGCATCCGCCTGCAAATTTATATGCCGGTGCTCCCCTCAGAATTACAGAAAAAATACTCTCAAGCCTCAAGTACCTGGTACTTGAAAAACTATGAACAACCAAACAGAAAACTGAAACTTCGTTTTCCTAATACCCAAACCATAGAAACCAAAAATGTCTACTTCTTCCAGTCCAGCTATAAAAAATTATTAGAAGTGTCAAACTTGCATTTCCCACATTTTCTGAGCACCCAAACAGGGAAAAATGAGAAATTCTCCTCACCCCATCCCAACAATGAAACCATTCAAGTTCTTCTTTCCCACATTTTCTCAGCAACCAACCATGGCATATAATCCCAAAAATTATCTTCACAAGGAGTATGTACCAAAAGAAACCGACCGAACAACTTTTATATTCTCACCTTAACCCTTTCCTACATTTTCTCAGCAACCAAACAAAACCCAATAAACAAAAATGAGAAAAAGTTCACCAAACCTGTTGGTTAAGAGCCTTGGCTTTTGTCCACCGCTGGCTGAGCTGAGCAATTGTGTCTCCTGTTAGAGCCAGTGCGCCAGCTGTGGCAGCTTGCTTTAAGGGGAACCAGTGACCGGCTCCTCCGGTTGCCTCCACAGAATTGGAGGACTGGGATTTGGAATCAAATCGCCCTTTTCTTTGTTGTTTCGGTTTTCTCGGTGAAGGGTTCCAACCCCAAAGCCCGCCATGGCCTCCACCGCCAAGAGCATTCATATTCTCAAAGCAAGGAAGACAGAAGCACAATTACTTTTTTATTATTTTTCTCTTGAGAATAGTTTCGATTTTGTATTGAGAGCGAAATGGTGTGTTGGGTTACTGACAGTGGACACGCGCAGGGTTCGGGCCGGGTCCGAACCCGAAGATCAAAACAAATTTACAAAATCAATTTTCTTTTACTTTTACTTCATAACATATTAATTTAATTTAAACAAAAAATAAAAAAGTCTCACAGTAAAACATCTTTCTAACCCCAAAATCTCTGAACGTGTTCTTCTTCCTCCTCCGACTCCGGCGCGCGAGCGAAAATCCAGAGCCACCCATTCCCACGCACTTCAACGCAATTGACTATTAGTAAAATAAATTTTGAATTTTTTTTAATTTACCAGTGACAAGAACATAACCAAGATTTTCTTAATTGTAAAGTGGCAGCATTCAAACTTGTTGATTTGGGGAAGGGTATAGGCCTTGTTCCATAACGAAAGCCAAAAATTTCATGGATTGAAACAAAGCAAATAGTTTATATGTCTTTCTGCAGTTCAATACAACCAAATCCTGCTGTTAACTTGTACTCAAAATAAAAAGTTTTGAAAGATAGTTCTACACATACACAATTTGGTTTTACAATTAGTTCACTCTAGGACCAAAAGCAGATGTCACATTTTCGCAATTTTGTTTTAGCTAGTGATGCTGGAGTGGGACTTGTTTTATCAAAAATAGCCAAAACTTGACCATTAATTTCAAAATTGTCAGTTTTTGTAATAAAAAAAAAGTTCAAATATAGAAGAAAACTCACTTAAATAGACACAAATATCCTCGAAATTAAAACTTACATAACCTAAAAAAGAAACCTTATTAAATAAAACTTCGGAATATTTCCTCCAAACACCTTTCTAATCACCTCTATTTCCTTTTCATTTTTTTCCTTCTTTTGTTTGTCTGCAGCATCACTCCCTCTCTTTTCCTTTTCTTTTTTTCTCTCTTCTTCTCTCCATCTCTCTCTCTCTCTCTCTCTCTCTCTCTCTCTCTCTCTCTCTCTCTCTCTCCCATTTGTCTCTCCAAATAAAATGTAATGTATGTATTTATTTGGCAAAAATATATATATATATATATTTAGAACCAAAAATTTAGAAATTGATTGAATCAATGCACAAGTATAATTTCCTTAACAAAAATGTCGCAACTATGGGCATTAAGTCAACAAAACCATAATTGAAATTTTATAAATATAGTATGAAGAATAAATGAAGAAACGAAGAAGAAATTGAACGAAGAACCAAAGAAGAATTGCACTCATCGTTTGACTATGGCAGCAATACGTCTGCAAACAAACTCTACGTACAAAGATTCCCAATCTAATAGGGTTTCTTTTATAGGTTTAGTTGGTTTTGAATTTGAGGGTATTTGTGTCTATTTAGGTGAGTTTTCTGCTATATTTGAAATTATTTACAAAAACTGACATTTTTGAAATTAGGGGTCAAGTTTTGGTTATTTTTGATAAATTCTCACTGGGAACGATGGGAGGAAGAAGAACACATTTAGGGGGTGTATTCAATTAGGATTATAAAGCGTTTAAAAAGATTTTAAAATTCCGGGTGTATTCAATTTGGATTTATACAAACTTTAAAAGAGATTTTATAAGTCTGGTTGTATTCAATTCGGACTTGTATGAACTTTTAAAAAGTCCACTCAAATATAGGTGTATTCAATTAGGATTATAAAAAAGTTGAATCAAATCTAGGTGTATTCGAAAGGTCATATATTTGGAAGGATTTCATTAAGTGATAAATTTTCATAGGTTTTAAGGGGAGAGCTATAAAAAACAAAGAACAAAAAAAATCCAACCCCCCCCCCCCCCCCCCAAGTATTTTCATCAAATCTTTTTCTCTTGCCCTAACTTTTCTCTCTGCAACAGAAGACGAATAGCTTCCTTCCTCCATTTGTGAAGGTATGCTCCCTATTTTTTCTTTGATCAATACCTCGTTGGGTTTTCTGTTTCCATGATTTTTCTTCATCGTGTTTTTCTTGTTATTAGGTTATAGTTTGGGGTTAGGTTATGCTTGTTACTAAGGTTTATGCTTGTTACTACTTATTTTTCTTCTGAAATATCTATATATGACTAGATAGAAAATTGAAATAATTGACAACCTTTCTATAAACGAACAAAAAAAAAACTGAGACAAATATAAATGAACATTAAAAAAATGAAGGGATCTTGAAGGGGATCCTGAATATAGAAAATTGAAATAATTGACAACCTTTATGTTAAATTTTCTTCATCTTCATCGTTACCGATTAATGAAGGGGATCCTAAACTAGTCTTCCAAACACAAAAACAACAACAACAACAACAACAGAATGCTAATGAATGGAGAGTTGGTATAGCTTTGGATATGCGGAGAGATGCTGGGCACAATGACAACAATGAGAATCAAGGATAATGAATGAACGTTAAATACTTTTCTTAAACTTTTCTTTCAAATTTGTAATACATTTGTCACTATACTTCTTATGAATTTTGCTTTTCGTTAAACATAATTTTATTTCATGTTGTTGAAGGAAAAGATGTTATGAATTTGGTTTTTTATTTCATGTTGTTTAGAATTTTATTTCATCTTTTTAATATACAACAATGTTACTATATACATTGACAACACTGAAAGGGAGGAGTTTAATAAAGTCATGGCTTTGATGAGATAGTTAAAAGGTTCAAAGTTTTTGTAGAAGACAGAGGCCTACTTGAGCACGTCTTTTGTTTTTTTCTTTTCAAGTTTGATAGTCAAAAGGTTCTGTTGAATCTGTTGAATTTAGCATACAAGCAATGACATATATTTTCAATAAGCAACAAAGCTTTTACTTACTCTCATCCATCGGCTAATCTAACCTTATTATTCAAGCTAGACCAGTTCAGAATTTATGTGGTCTTTGCTTGCAAGAGCCATTATTCAAAAGATTTTTTATTGCAATTTGGGCAACCAATGCTTGGATTTGAAATAGATGTGTAAAACCAATGCTTGGATTCTCTTTTCTGTGGGCAAGTTTGTTTTTTATTTGGACAAACTTGGATTAGAAATAGTGTCGGCGCATTGCCTGCAGCATTGGCTTTGACAAGGATGAGGATAAAATGAAATATATTGTCTACATAAGAGGCCAATGTGTAAACATATCCACATTCAAAGTTTGGAATAAAAGCCATATAAATCTTATGAAAGTTTATTAAAAAAATTATACATAAGTCTTCTGAAAGTCTATCAAGCTCTATACGAATTCTAAAGTTCCATCAAGTTATATGAAAGCTAGCACTTAAACAAAATATTTTTAAACGCTCTACAATCCTAATTGAATACACCCCCCTTAGAGATTTTGGGGTTTGAATGTGTTTTACTGTGAGATTTTTTTGTTTTTTTTAAATGTAAGTTAAATTAATATGTTCTGCAGTAAAAGTAAAGGAAAATAGATTTAATTTTTTTTTTCCTTCTGAATTATTAGATTAAATCCAAGGGTAAGTGACCACAAGTGTCTTGAACTCCAGGAGTCCAAGAAGACGGGATTGTGTTATTGATAGCGAGGAGAATCTTCTCTTATCTTTTGTTCTTTTATTTAACAATACATCAATACAAATAAATGTGGGATTTGAATCCAAGGCATCTCTGGATAAAGTTGAAACTAGAAACTAACAGGTCAAAGATCATTCGCAAGTGTGTTCTATTTATTTGTTACAATAACATTACAAATTGGAAGTCCAACGTAGTGGCGGATCCAAAATTTTGTCCATGTAGGGTAGGGGTATAAAAAAAAGTTCAACAAGCAAGGAGCTTGTAATTGAATATGTCCTTCTGAAGATATACCAGCACTGTGACTTTGGTTGTTTCTTTCAATCCTTGTAAAAAGCCTCAAAATCCCCACCCACTTTCACCAAAACACGACCTCTTGCTTCTCTAAGAGCATTTCCACCAGTTAGCCCCTTACCATGGCAAGGGAAGTCCTAGGGAAGCTACTATTCACGTGAATAGTGGCTACCCTAGCCCCCCCAGCAAAGTATGTTTCCAGCAGTTTAGGCTTGTCATGGCAAATACTATTCATTTTTTTATTTTTTTGTTTCACAACTTTGTTTACTTAAACATTTGATTTGGATAATATTTTCGGATAAGATTTTTGGGTTCCTACGTGTCAATACTATTCATATCGAATAAGATTTTTGGTTTCAAATTTCATATAAATTTCAAAATTCAAAATTCAGATAAATCAATACAACTAATAAAATAAAATACATGAATGACCACTAATTATTAAAACAAAACAAAAAAATACAATGAAATGAAAGGCAAGCAAACTAAGAAATGAAAGGCAAGATTTTATTTTATCGGATAATATTTTCAGATAAGATTTTATTTTATTAGTTGCATTGGTTGGTATTTATAGGAAAAAAAAAAGTATGCGGATTTGGTGTTAAAAGTGAAGAGTATTGGTTGGTATTTATAGACATTGGCGGACCCGGAATTTTTTTAGCGGAGGTGCAATATTGACTAAGTATGAAAAATAGTTTTTCGGAATAATCATTTTCTCAAGATAATTTTTGGCAGCTTTTATTCCTTACACATCAAATAAGAAAACTTGATTTTATGAGATTTTAATATGAAGTATATATTGACTTAATGAGCCATCATTTTTAGCCTAAATCGTACTTTGCATTAAAACCGATTTTTCATATTTTGATTTGATGGGAATTTGATTTTTTAGTATTTTTATTTGAATCCAAATGGGGGGTACTTCCTTATTTACATTGTAAACTTAAGTAAATTGAGTAATATAAAAATAAATAAAAGTAAAAGGACAAAGACATTTACTTAAATGTTGAAAATGGAAATAAGGTATAGAGAGAAAAAAAGTGAATAAAATGTTGAGTAGAAAGTGAATAATTGTTGAAGGAGAAGAAATGTATCGGCTGTTGGTGTTAAAAGTGCAGAGTATTGGTTGGTATTTATAGAAAACAATTTCAGTATTTTTTGGGTATTTTTTTCGATTTTTTTTCTTTTTTTTTTTATTGGGAAAAAATTGGCTGCCGTTGGATTG